ATGGAGGCAGTCAGGTGTGAAAGTGAAGACAGACGCAGTGACAGTGGGAACAAAAGAAACAGAGCTAAGCCCGACCAGCTGCCCATCATGGCTGCAGACTAGACTAAGCCCGGAAGAAGGTGGGGAACTCCAGGGAGTAAGGCTCATATTGGCGGATCTGAGCAGTGTGGGCCTAAGACAGAGACAGCACCTGGACAGGACGTGAGAATGGAGAAGCCTGAGAGGACACCCAGGGGAAGACACGGCTCATGCAAAGGCCCTGGGGCGGAGGACACGGCTCATGCAAAGGCCGTGGGGTGGAGGGCATGGCTCATGCAAAGGCCCTGCGGCAGGGGTCAAAGCCCTACCAGATAAACCCCTGTTATAGCCTCCCCACCACACCAAAACCTTGAACCCACATGTAGGTACATATCCTCATGTCCCTCCTTCTCCCCCTACACCATGCAGTCTCTTCATAGGCTGTGCATTGCTCACATAGCCTGGGCACTGCCATGGGAGATGCTGCACAGGAAGGGGGCACACGCGCGGGCATCGGGCAGAGCAACAGGAAGTGACAAAAAAATCACCTAAGGTCATTTCGAGAAATAGAAGTGCCAGGGAGGAAACGAACCTGAGACAGAACCTGGGGTGGGGATGCCCTAGGGAGGGCAAGATCAGGCTGCAACCCTGAAGGAGGTGAGCTAGTTCAGCTCCCTCGGAGAGTGTGTGAGCGCAAAGGCCCTGGGGCATGGGGCTCAGCCTAAAGAACAGAAGGATGCTGGCCCGTGGGAGCAGAAAGTAGGCCAGAGCAGAGAGAGAGGCCCAGGGCAGCTTTGACCCCGAGGGAGGTGGCACCCTGGAAGGCTGTGAGCAGAGGCCCTAGGAAGGAAGCCTTTGGGAAGATAGATTGTTGGATTAGGGGGCACCAGGCAGAGGAGACAGCATTACAGAGTTAAGGATGGCTTGTCCCTCTCTCCCTCGTCCCTCTGTGCCTGCTATACTGTCACTTGTACGCGCTGTCCTATCTCAGGGCCTTTGCATGGCTGTCCCTCTGGGTAGCATCCCTCTCGGCTCATATCCTCAGGGCAGTCCCCTCCGCGGCAGGGCAGCTCTCATACCCACTGACACTCACTCTGCACCTGCTGAATTTGACTCCATGTTGTGTGGAAGAGCCATCATGACCCAAACAGACCCCAGTGTGGGCCCCAGCAGGAGCAAGGCTCAGGTACAGCTCTCTCTGTCTAATTCCTAGTATCCAGAGTTCCTGACACACAGTGGGTGCATAATAAATTCTGACTGAGGGCTGGCAAGATGGCTCAGTGGGTAAGGATGCTTTACACTGCCAATTGGATGATCTGAGTTCAGTCCGTGGACCCATATGGTGGAAGGAAGACAGAAAAAAAGTTAAAATTACTAAATAAAGAAATTGTTGGACCTCTTTAATCCCAGCACTCAGGAGGCAGAGACAGGCAGGCAGATCTCTGAGTTTAAGGCCAGCCTGGTCTACAGAGCAAATTCCAGGGTAGCTAGAGCTACACAGAGAAACCCTGTCTCACACAACAACAATAATAAATAAAATAAGCAGTCAGTGGAGGAAAAAACTCAATACATGAACAGGATAGTACCTGGTGCACAGTACGTGCTTAGTAAGTGCTTATTGAGGCCTAGAGACGCAACTGAGTGGCTAGGGTGTTTATCTGTCATACATGACGCCCCGCGTTCAACTCCCAATGCCCGGTGGGGACAGGGTTGGAGGGAGAAAGAGACACAGAGAGGAGAGAGAAATGTTATTGACACAGTTAAGCAATAAACAGGTAATATATAGCAAGGCATACAGTTTTTGTCTTGTTTTGGTTTTTTGGTTTTTCAAGACAAGGTTTCTCTCTGTTGCCCTGGCTGTCCTGGAGTTTGCTCTGTAGACCAGGCTGGCCTTGAACTCAGAGAGACCCTCCCGCCTCTGCTGGGATTAAAGGCCTGTGCTACCACCTCCCAGGAGCAGGAGGGTTTCTTGAGACAAAGAGATCAGGGCCAGCCTTGGTGAGTTCCAGGCCAATCTGGTCTACATAGTGAGAACTTACCTCAAGATACAAATAAATAACATAGCATAAAAGACATAAAAATAAAAGTAATTATTTTTAAGAGAGGGGTGGAGGCACTCAGTGGGTAGAGCCCTCATCTAGCATGCATGAGACCCTGGGCACTGTCCCCAGCCGGAACCAGGACTGGTGGGTGGGGGTGGGGCAGATGAATGGATGGGTGAGTGGGTGAATGGGTCCCTTTCTTTCTTGCCTGGCCTTCCTCTGGCAGAAATGGCAGTCTCTTGTGGCTCAGGGTCCCCTCCCCCAGTCTCTAGAGACTGTCAGCTTTGGGTCTCAGGCACCGAGCGCTGCCAGGGGACTTGGAATGGTTCCCAGGCTGATCTTGCATATACCCAGGGGCAGCTGGCTGCAGAAGCTGCACCAGGCCAGTCCCTACACTTAGCAGACAGTGCCTGTATTAGTCTGGGGACAGGGATTTTGACAGGGGACATTGAGGTAGAGAAAGCGGATCTGGTCAGGAAATAGAGACCAGGAGAGGGATTTGGGGGTGGGGAGGGTGGGGATTTGCTGTGTGGCTGGGAGAGACATGGGGGCAGAAAGATCTAGGAATTTGAGGGCACTGGGGGCTGAGCAAACACCAAGGATTGTAGGCCTGGGTTGGGGCAGGAATTGGGCTGCAGATCTGAGTGTCCACGGGAAACAGCTTGAGGAAGCAGAACGGGCTGCAGGTGGGGGCCCAGCGTGCCACCCAGGCTGTCCACGGCCCTCCAGGTCCGGCACCTGTATCCCCTCTGCCTCATCCTACCTGGCTGTGGGGTCCTGGGCTGGTGGATTTCAGGGTCCCTGGTGGCCGCTGGAGGAGGAGGAGAAGGAGGAGGGGGAAGAGGGAACGGTTCCACCCCTTCCGTGTGGGGGAGGAGCAAATGAAGTCATCTGTGTCTTTCCCGCCCCAGAGGGGAAAGTCCCCAGGACTCCCCGGACCGGACACTGCCCTTTGCCCAGTGCCACGGTGCCACGTGGAACAAGGCAGAGCTCCCATTGTATGGAGCCAAGGTAGGGGAAGAAGAAACCCACATCCCAGAGACCGAGGAGCTGGTGGCCACAGACCTCAATTAGTGACATACTCAGTGGGGATTCGCAACACCACGTGGCTAAATTCACAGGAACCCTGGTGATTTATGCCTATTAGTCCAGCACACTGGAAGCTGAGCAGGAGGATTGCCTGAGTTCCAAGCAAGCCTAACCTACACAGTGAGACCTCCATCTCAAAACTAAATTAATAGGCTGGGCAGTGGTGGTGAACGCGTTTAATCCCAGCATTCGGGAGGCAAAGGCAAGTGGATCTCTGAGTTTGAGGCCAGCCTCGTCTACAGAGTGAGTTCCAGGACAGCCAGGCTACATAGAGAAGCCATATCTCAAAAAAAAAAATTAATACAAAATAAATAAACTAGAGTGCAAGTGACTACAAGGAAATCTAAATGGTTGAGAATATTTTTAGCGTTTTATTTATTTGTGTTTTTTTTGTGTATGTGTATCTGTAGGTCAAAGAAGAGCTGCTGAACCTTCACAAGGACACAAAACAAAAAAATTCGAAACATATTTCTGGATATTTAGTATTTTAAGAAACAATCTTTGGCAGGGCAGTGTTGGCGCCCGCCTTTAATCCCAGTGCTTGGGAGGCAGAGGCAGGCAGATCTCTGAGTTCAAGGCCAGCCTGGTCTACAAGAGCTAGTTCAGGACAGCGAAACCCTGTCTCGGGGAAAAAAAGAAAGAAAGAAAGAAAGAAAGAAAAGAAAGAAAAAAGAAAAAGAAACAGTCTTTGTATGTATGTGACTCTATCCTGGAATTTTAGCTATCCTCCTGACTCAATCTCCCAGATGCTTAGATTACAGGCATGTTTTAAAATTGATGAAACTAGCCTGGCAATGGTGGAGCACTCCATTAACCCCAGCACTCAGGAGGCAGAGGCACTCTATGAGTTCGAGGCCAGCCTGGTCTACAGAGCAAGTTCTAGGACAGCCAGGGCTACCCAGAGAAACCCTGTCTCAAAAAACAAAACAAAACAAAAAAAACCTGATGAAACTAAATTGTGAAAACAGAAAAGCAGAAGCAGTTTACAATCACTGGGAAGTGGTGCGTACTTGTGAGCCATCCTTCCCAACCCTTCACTGGGAGATACTAGGTGGGAGTGGGGAACAGTACACCATGGTCACACCCGAAGCTCCTCACTGAGGGATTCTAGGTGGGGCTTTGCCCTGACCACACCCCCAGCCCCTCACTGGGGGATTCTAAACAGAAGTCTGGTTCAGGTCACTAACATGATGTCTCCAAAGCTCTGGACGTTGGAGATGGTATTAGAATAGCCTGTGTTTTCCTTGTGTACATGTACACGTTTGTGGAAGTAAGGGACTGGCATCAAGTATCTTTCCTAGTCACACTCCAAACACTTTACCATTTTTCTCCTGCTCCTGAGTTTTGCTGTTTTGAGACAGGGTCTCATGTAGCCCAGGCTACTCACTACGTAGCCAAGTGAAGACAGACGCTAAAAAGAAATCCCACACCAGCTCAGAAATGAGTATAACAAAGGGTTATTTATTTAGGGGTAGTCTAACAGATGACAGTCCTCTGCTCGAATGGGGAACAGTATTGAATCCGGCAGCCGGAAGAGAGAGGGACAGTGCTTCACATAGGCATTTATAATATAAGAGGCCACGCCCAAGTGGGCGGGTAACTTAAAGGCTACTGGCTGAAGGATTTCCTACACCAGCCAAGAATGAAATTTGAACTCCTAATCCTCCTTCTCCAGATCAAGGGGAACAGCCATGTTTGGAAGGTTACATTCGGTCTGCTGCATCTTACTGCCCCCCTCCACATCTCACAGAACATAGGGTGGAGGGAAATCTGGCAATGGGCCCCCTCCTGCCCCTCTGCCAGGGTGGCTCAGCAGCTGTGAAAGGAACACACACACACTGTCCGCCAGGCTTCTGATGCTCACAAAATTTATTATAGCAATACTGAACCCCAGGGTTTGAGGAACAATGGACACTCAGTCCTCAGCCACTTTCTCATTTGAAACAATTTCACATCCCTGCTGTCCACCCCGTGAGGACCAAGTGTCAGGTTAGGAAACCGCTTGCTACTATGGGCCACACCATGCTAAAGGCACAGGAATGGGCTATCATCAGGCCGTGGTCTGAAGTGTGTTTTAGGCTCACTGACGCTGCTTGCTATACAGCATCTGCCTTAGAATTCTTGATCCTCCTGCCTCTCCCGCCACAGTGCTGGCATAGGATGACAGGAATGTGCCATTACTACTGGTTACCTTGACTGCTTTTTTCTTTTAGGATTTTTTTCTCCTAGAATATTCTAGAGGTTTTTTTTTTCTTCTTTGAAAGACTGATGGGAAAAGGTTAAACACTTCTTCAGACTCAGGGTAGCTGAGGACCTAGTATGCAACAGGATTATTGGGAAAAGCTGACTGGAACCAGCTGCTGGCCCTGACCCCTCTCTCTACTTCTCTTCCAGGGCTTTCTCAGTGATTCCAGGAGCGAAGGGGCCCACCAGCCATGTGACCGGTGTGTTCTGGGCCACGTACTCCACAGTGTGGTCAAGGGCCTCCCGGGCTCTGCCTATGCGCTCGCGGGTCTGGGCAAGAACACCGGCTGTGAGGTCCTGGAAGGAGTGGATGCTGGAGAAAGTGGCCTGAAGGTCGTCCACCTGGCTGCGGGCCTGCTGGGCCTGCTCCCGGACGTGGCCAGGCAGGCCCTGGATGCTGGCCCCCAGGGCCACACACGTGCTCTGTAGCTGCTGAGCAATGTCCCTGAACATGCCGAGTGCCCGGGCCTCCACCTGCTGGAAAGGGGAATGGGGCAGGGTGAGAGCCAGCAGGGGCACAGCCCAGCATTGGGAACAGGGATTTGGCTCTCCACAGGCCCCAGTAACCTTTTCAAAATAGATTTTCAGGGACATCTAGACATCGGAAGATGCCTAGAATCTAGACTCATCGGACACAAAAGCCATTAGGAGGGGACAAAAGCCAAACAGCAAAAATTACAAAACATACAAACCCCAAATCAAATTACAACATGGGTGCTAGGAGGCCAGATGTGGTGGCCATACAGCTGTGACCTCAAAACTAACCAAATAACCCCCACAGTAATAATAAAAATGCAAAAATTAAAAACCAAAGCCAAAATGCCAGGTGGTTGTGGTGGTGGTGCACACCTTTAATCCCAGAACTTGGGAAGCAGAGAAATGTGGATCTCTGTGAGTTCGAGGCCAGCCCGGGCTACAGAGAGAGTTCCAGGACAACCAGGGCTACACAGTGAGAGCCTTGGTTTCTCATGAGAAACCAAGAGAAAAAGAAAAAAATCCAAAACAAATCAGAATCAATTGTGTAAAGTCTGGATTCTGCGGTCACTCCAGGACAGGAAGCCCAGTGTGCACAGAGCAGGGCCTGCAGACACAGGGATCCCTGGACCCAGTGAGTACCTCTGGCTTAGCTGGGTCCTTTTCTGCATCCTGGGGTGTCTTCTGGTTCCAGCTGAGCCACATCTGGTGCAACTTCTCCTGCCCCTCCCCCAGCCTCTCGTCCACACCCTGCTTCATGGATTCCATCTGCAGCACAGAGAAAGGGGTGGGGGTTGAGGGAGCCTGTGCCTGACACCGGGTTCCAGTCGGGGACAGCAGGTATGGGAATGCTCTTCATGTACATTTTTTTCCATTTCTGGCTAGCCAGGAATTGACTACGTAGACCAGACTGGCCTCTGCCAGGATGAGAGGTAAGCACCAAGGAGTCCCCCTGGGCAATGCTTGAGCACAGATCCTGCTCCACCAGCAACCATCATCAACTTCAAATGAGTAAGACTGAATAGTACCTTAGCCGGACTTGGGACCCAGTGACCAGCACCCCTAGGTAGCCAGGTAGAGAAAAAGAAGCCTGTGCTCCACACACCCTGGGACAGTCTAGATAGTCACACTGGATTCATCCATCAAAGTCCGCAATTCCTTTCTCAACTGAACTTCAGTCTCACACATGGTCAGACAATGAATGTGCCTGGCTCAGCTGCCCAGACTGTGCCCTTTGTTACACAGCCTGAGCTGACTCACACACCATGGTATGGAGGAAGTCGGCCCAGGGGAACCAGTCCAGTCCACCTGGTGAGATCCCAGCTCAGGAGGGATGGGAGCTGCAGGAAGGAGGCCCCAGCCCTGGCCAACACCCCAAAGCTCACCAGGCTGAGTACATGCGTGAGTTGCTGCATCGCCTCATGCGCACTCTGTCTGGCATTGCGCAGCTTGCCCAGTGAGTGCTCATAGGCGTGGTTGCGAAGCCGTTCCGACAGCGAGCCCAGCCGGACGAAGTAGTTCTGCTCCTGTCTCTGCTGCTGCAGTGAGGCCATGTCCGAGCCCTCTGAGGACGTGGCAATCAAGGCTGTGGCACAGGAGAGAGTGCTTAGGTTCACAGTGCCCAATGCATAGCCTCATTGGGAGACTCTGGCAACCCAAGCTACAGGAGACTGTCTCAGAATAAAAAGCAAAAGAGGGCTGACGGTGTGGCTCTGTGGTAGAGCAGCTGTCTAGAGGTTCATCCCCAGGCCTGGGCCAGCAAGATGGCTGGGCGGGCCAAGATGCTTGCTGCCAAGCCTGAGAAACTGAGTTCAATCCGTGGATCCCACAGTAGGAGAGAAGCGACGATCGGAAGTTGTACTCTGGATGCTACATGCTACATGGACACCTAGCACAGGCATACTGCATATGATTAAAATGAAATACATTTTTAAAAATTTGAAAATCAGCTTCAGCTTCCAGCCCAAGTTCCTTCCTTTTCCATCTCCCTCTCGAAGTGGAAGCTTGTTTCTCCCCACTTCTCCCCTTCCCCCTCCTCTGTCTCTCTCTGCTCTTCCCCCTTCTCTCCTTAGCCCCTCTCCCCTTCCCTTCCATAACCCACTAAATCCAACCTCACTCTGCCAAAAAAAAAGAAGAAGAAGAAGAGGAGGAGGAGAAGAAAGAAAGAAAGAGAATAGCAGAAGGTAGTGGAACAGGGAACAGGCTTGTAAAGATGTGCTGCATTTGCGGGTGTTGCAGAATAATTGTTTAACTAAGTAGAGATGTGATGCCATTTCACCTTGCCTGCCTAAGGCACCCAACTGGTCTAATCCAAAGTCGACTGGCCAATAGCCCGGCAGTAGAGGGATAGGCAGGGCTGGCAGGAATCCAGGCTCAAGAAATGAGGGAGAAAGAAAGGGAGTCTGGGCCAGCCAGGCAGGCAGCCACAAGCAGTCAGACACGGAGGAAGCAGGAAAGCAGGACACACAGAAGGAAAGAGAGGTAAAAAGCCCTGAGGCAAATGCAGACGAAGAGAAACGGGTTAATATAAGTTACAGAGCTAGTGAGACAAGCCTAAACTAAGGCCAAGCATGCATAATTAATAACAAGTCTCCATGTCACGATGTGGGGGCTGGCAGTTCAAGAAAGCCTGCTACAGAGGAGGAGACAGGAGGATGAATCCTGGGGTTCCCCTGGACAGCCAGCTTAGCCAAGTCTTGTAAGCCCCAGGTCACTGATGCCCTGTTTCAAAAAAACAAGGGGAAGAGTGGCCTTGGCAGACACACTCAGAGGCCTTTGAGACAGCATGACATAAAGTCAAATCCCAGGGTTTTTTGCTTTGTTTTGTTTTGAGACAGCATCTCACCTGTGTAGTCCAGGCCACACTCCAATTCCCAACTGCTGGGATTAAAGGTGTGTGGGATCACTCCAGGCAAAATCCTATGTTTCAAAAAAAATTTTTTTTTCCCTTCCCATTTCTCCTTACACAGCGGATTTTCAAAGGAAAATAGCTACATTTTGGTTCAGGTCATCTGGTTTGTAGCTCTCTTGGAAGCTGGGGACCGCACCCCGGGAAGTGAAAGGAGCTCTGTGCTCTTAGCCAAACCAAGGGCAGGAAGCCATGGGCAAAGTGTGGCGTGACATAGGAAGGGACAGACCTGTGTCTCTGGGAGATAGGCAGCTCAACTGACCTCAAACTCCAGAGCCCTGAATCCACCTCCCGAGTACTGGGGTGACTGGTGTGTGCTACCACGCCTGTCTGTTGTGCCGGTGACAGAACCCAGGGCCTCAAATGCGCTAGGTAAACGCTCTATCCACAGCCCAGTCTGCAGCTAATTTTTGTATTTGAGACAGGGTCTTGCTATGGAACTGGCCTAGAACTGCTCCAATGGGACCAGTCTGGAACTGCTCCAATTTCCTTCCTCAGCCTCGCATGTGCTGGGGTGACATGTACAGCCCTCTTGCATGGGCTCCAAAGCTAGCTCCCACATGCCTCTGCTATTCTCTACAAGCCACCAGGGATGCAGCTAGGAGGTCAGTGGCTAAAACCAAGCTACGGGTGTGACCATGGTGTACTGTTCCCCACTCCCACCTAGTATCTCCCAGTGAAGGGTTGGGAAGGATGGCTCACAAGTACGCACCACCCCACCCGTAGCTCCTCACTGAGGGATTCTAGGTGGGGCTTTGCCCTGACCACACC